CGGTGACGGCGCGCAGGAACAGGTGCAGAGTGCAGCAGCAGGCACGCACGCAGCGAGTGACAAGCACAAGACCAAAAAGTGTGTGTGGTTGTTGGAGTCCGCCGTTGACATTGGCCACTTTGGTGGAGGCGCTGGCTAGCACTGGATCAGATCGTCTGCTCCGGATGATGACGACGCGTAACTCGGCCCAGTTTTTGCGCTGCGAAAAATAGCAACGCTTCTGGCGCACCCGTGAGGCGTGCATGCGTTTTTTTTGGGGGTTCCCGAGGGTTTCATTCGGAGTAATAGACGGGTGGCAGACAGGCGAGATGGTGGCACTGAGCAGGCAGTGTTTGTAGATTTTGTGGTTTTGTGGACAGCACAGCGGGTACGAGGTTCCTTGTAGGAAGGTCGACTGCGCAGAGTAAAAGCTTGTTAATGTGTTCAGCGGCTCAGCTCCGGTCAGCTCGTAGATGACGATGGCAATGCAAGCTGGGTGCGAGAGTCATGGCCGACGGCGGCTCCAGGGCACCGAGTTCGAGGTAAGGTGCCAGGAGCAAGGAGCAGGGCCTTCGGGCGGCAAACATCCGGGAGGCGTGCGTGCTGAAGCTGGACGGCAACGGCATCGGACGGCGGAGCTGGCAGCAGCAGAACAGGATCTGGAGACCTTGAACTGCAGCTTTTTGGCAGGACAAGACGACAGGACAGGCAAACCGTCGACAGGGAGGCGACCGGCAGACGGCGACTCGGACCCACGAGGCAGTGGTTGACAAACCCCACGGTGACGAGGGTGTTGGGCCACTGAGGGTAACGGAGGCACAAACGGAGGTCTGGGATTAAGACGCATCGACGGTGATCAGCACGACGTCGATTGAGTGCCGAGTAGAGTTATCTGGCAGCGTGATCCGTCTGGGCCTCGCGATGGAGCAACGGAGCGCATCCAGAATTCGGGAGCCCTGCGATGCCATGCCATGCTTGGTGGTCGCCATGAGGCCGCTAACAGTATTGGCAGACGTGGGCCACGGCCGAGTGTGCCGTTTTTTGTGTGCGAGTGAGCGATTTCGACGTGTAAATCTCGAGTTTATGTTTGTACTTCGTAGTAGAATATCTCTCCTTGAGCAAGGACCCATGGCGATGATGGTGCCAAAGTCCAATGAAAAGTCGTCTTTTGTGTGTTTCTTCCCGGCAAGATTGAGGACGGGTGTCGAGCTACCCGTCGCCGCGAAATTGACGAGATTGGAGCGGCCCACGGGAGAGAGATAGCCAAGGGTTCTGGAAGGGGATGGCTTACCAGCAGCGGCAGCAGCAGATTGATGAAATTGGACGGGTTGGGATTGCTGGCATTGGCGATGATGGGCGTGGTGGTGGTGGTGGACGCGGGTGGTGGTTTGCAATGGAAAAATTAAGATTGGGGTCGCTCGGCACATGGAAAGGAGAGATTGCGGTGATTGCAGGTTGGAGCACGGGTACGGGAGCGGTACCTGGCGGGAAGCGGTGATTTGGCCGGGACGAGCAGGTACTGGAGGGGTACAAGGGGCAAGCTGGGAAAGGAAGCGGCTATCGAGACGCCCTCCTCCTGCCACCTGGGAAGGAAGCAGAGCCAGAGCCAGAGCCGCTCCCCCTGAGAAAACGGTGACGGGTGGCCAATCACGTTTTTTTGACAGAATTTGTTAGGCACTGGGAAGGACGTCCTGGGGAGTCGCACCTTCCAATCGTGAGCGGTTCCCTCGAGCACGTTTGTCGAGCCACGCGATGGCGATTGGATGGCGATTGGATCTGGAGGTCTGTGGGCCAATGATACGGCACAGATCAAGTCGCAGCGGGGCTCTTTCCTTTTGGTTCGCTGGCCGTCATCTGCCAACTGATAAGCAACGGAGGTCTCGCAATGGAACTGTGAACTGTGAACTGCAACTTGCAAGAAGCTGCCCTGCGCTTCAGAACGCAGGGCAGCCATCGCGCGACGAAGGGCAACTGAAAAGTGCTTCTTCTGCTGTTCCTTACATAAGAACGCCATCTCCCGGAGCCCACTTCAATCTGCGTTAATCATGGCCGGCAACCTCTGCAATCTGGGATCAGACAGATTTACGTTAGATACAGACTAGCGAGAGACGCGACGGCCTCGGCGCGTGTTCCCAGCACTGGGCGCTAGGTGACTTGGACTAAGGTAGGCGGTAGCAGCGAGCACGCCTTCGAGAATTCAGCAAAGGAGCCGCTGCCGGCGCCGGCGCGACGGAAGACGGGACTGTCAATTGGATCTTGGCCACGCGCTGGTGGCGGCGCCTCTGGCTGCGGTGGTTGCGTGGCTTCGTGGCTGCAGCATCGTCGGAGTGTGTTCCTGGCCACGTCGGGACAATGCAATATCTTGGATCTTGCAAAATGCCATCATCAGCATCCAGCTCCAAGCTGATTGCGTGCCGGACAGCCATGCCCAGCAGCAGCAGATCGGCCAGAAGCTGTAAGACGACCCAGGGTTCCGTCACCGTGCCGTAACGATAGCTGGGGAAACTGTGGGCTACCGTAACCAGCTGGACAGTGAGTGACAGTGACAGTGAGTGACAGTGTCGGCTGTGAGTGCTGAGTGAGGTGCGGTAGCGTCCCAGAAAAAAACCCAGGGCAGTCGCGCCGTCTCCACCCAGGGCCCCCACCGGGAATAATTCCCCTGCCCCCATTTGTGCCCCCGCCCCTGGCCAGTCAGCAGCGACCGTGCCGGCGGATTCCTGGTCGCGGGCTCGACCTCCCACCTCCCATCGCTACCCCTTTCGCCGTTCCCTGCCCATACCTTTTGGAGGTGAACCCACTCACCCTTTTTTCCTCCTCCCTTTTTGCTTCCCTTCACCTGTACCGAGCGAGCCAACGATTGAAGACGGTCTCGGAGAGGCGAAAGATTGGATGAGATGACGAGGACGGTCAGTCTGATGCGAGGGGCATGTGTGGTCCAGTCCACCTACAGCCAGAAGCAACAACTGCAGCACAGAACATCAGACAGCGGAGCGCGGGTTGCTTCTGCGTGTTCCATGCTGCTACCGCTGCCGCGTCTGCACCGCACCTCAGTTGTCGACATGGGACGAGGAGGAGAGCCCTCTGTCGCAGGCTCGTCTCTCCCTACAGCGTGCGCTACGAATACAGGCAGAAAGCATCTCAGTGTTTGAGAGTCTCAGTTGCTGTCCAGAGAGAATGGGCTGAGGCGACTCGTCACTCGTCAACCTCCAACTCGGTTGCAAATTCCCATGCACAAGCAACGCAACGCTACTGTACCTAGTCTGGAGCTACACACACACATTCTACCAAGTACAGGCCACAGACGACGGATACGCAGCTGCAGGTCCCGTTTTACCCATTCCTTCCCACCCGTTTACCCTGCACACTGCCATGCGCAGCGCCGCCGCCGCCGCCGTCTTGCCTCCTTCTTTGGACCTTGGTGCATCTCGCCGTAAGACAGAGTCGCTGCTTGGGTGTGGCGGCGGGAGGACAGTGGCAGAGGCAGTGGCAGTTGCCGTCGTTGTTGCCAAAACAAGTTGCTACGTTAGTGTTTTGTTTCGGTTGTATATTTTTTTCTTTATTTTATTCGCCGTTTTCTTTGAGGCTTCCATCCTTCCTTCCTTTCCGTTGTCCCAGCTCCCGCCATTCTTTACTGGAAGCAATGGAAATGGCGACAATGGAAATGGAAGAAAAGCAAAAGATACGTACCCTGGGTACATTCCAAAAGTGGGAAGGACGGCGCTCTTCTTCAACAGGGCCCCTTGCTGCCAATTTTATCCCAATCACCAAATCCCACCCGTCCCTGGCTCTTGCAGCTGCTGCTCGTCGCCAAGCCCTCTCTCCCACGTCCATCTTTCTGTCTCTGTCTCTTCTTATTTCTCGGTGTACCTCATGTTTTCTGTCACTATTGTTCGCTACAGCCAAATTCTCAGAGTAAGGTAAAAGAGAGAGGCTTAGCTCACCCGTCCAGTTATCGATATGTACCAGACCAAACTTGGCTCCAACTCCCCGAGCCATCATCCCAGTCCAAGTCTTTCCCTCTTTCTTCCTGGATTCCCACTCCCGCTCCCACTCCCCCTGGTCCACGCCTCCATCTTCCTCGTCCACACACCCACAACTCCATGTCCCACACCCCCCTCCCCCCCCTAAATCAGCGTGGTGAACATTGAGAACCACCCCCGGTCCCCGTCCGTCACTCTACGCCGCACATACGGAGTCTTCTCCCGGCACGCTCCAAGCAGGTATTCGTAGCTCTTGTTCGCCTTCTTCGCTCTACCTACCCTACCGCGCTACGAATACCTATCTACCTACCTTACTCCGTTCGGTACCTGCACCCGTCGCATAGTAGTATCCATCCCCTACTGTACTGTTTTGGCGTCTTTTCAGCACCGTTACGCACCTCTCTTGTACCTACCCGCCCGCTATTCAGGGACCCTCTTTTTCACTCTTCCAGACCTCTTCTACCTCTTCTTCCCTCATCTCCCACCCTTCCCCTCCTGCTCCTTTCCCTTCTCTTCGTCTCTCCAGTTCACCACGAATCTGGATCGCCAGTCTCTGCTCGCGTTCTCCTTTCCAGCAGCAGAGATTCCCGTTTTCCCGATCACTTGCCGGTCCTATGATCGTGTCACTCGCTCAACACAACCACCATTAGCTGCTATCGCCGGTATCTGCTTTTTTCCATTTGGCCTCGGTTTGCAATCATCCATACAGACATCTCGTTTTCTGTTTGACAGGTCTTGGGTCGTGGAGCTATCGTCCGAACTCACTTCACCAATCCGAGTTCATTACATCCGCACCAAGGACTACAGCACAAGGAAGAGGAACCCTCGACGACAACCGACGACCTCATCTCATCGCTCAGACTGCTCGCTCACAAAAACACCAAGCCGAACATCCCCTCTACAGCCGTCAAGCTGGACGAAAAACAACTAGACCGTCTTATTCGGACAATGGGCGCTAAGCTGCCTGGTCCGGTTCGCGCTTGCAGTATGCGTAACCCACTCACGAGAACGCTGCTTTTTGCAGTCGTCATCCTGGTCATCATGGCCCTCACCCTCAGAAACGACGCCATCGACGTCCGCGGCCGTATTATGAAGACCGGTGCCGGAGTCAAGTCCTCCATCACCCACCAGCAGCCTTTGGACCCCGTCAAGTCTCACGGCTCATCGTCTCTCTCCGACAAGATCCCCGCCGAGCCTGCCCCCTCCTCGACTCACGTCATGAACTGCGATGTCAACACCGACCACCTGAAGCAGGTCAAGGACAAGTATGGCCTCGACAACAAGATCCACTACTTCAAGCGCTACGTCAAGTTCACCCGCAAGAACATCATTCGCAAGGCCTACACCGTCCTCGACCAGGAATTCTTGCCCAAGAAGTTCAAGACGGTTGATGTCACCAAGTCCTACGCCCCCGAGGAGTGCCACGCTCCTCTCGAGCTCCCCGTCCCTCAATCCCCTTACCCTGCCACTGTCAACGCCTCTGACTTTATGTTCGCTGTTTCCACCACCTACAAGCGTTTCAACGACCCCAAGACGAGCCCGATCAAGGAGTGGTCTCACTGGCTTACCGACAGCAACGGCAAGTCCAACGGTGGAAAGCTTCTGCTCCTCCTCCTGGACGCCAGTGACGCCGAGCTCAAGGATGCCAGCGACAGGCTCAAGCGTGTCGGCATTGACGTGGATGTGGCCCACTCTGACCCTTCCATGGAGATGGCCGTTCGCTACCTGACTCTGGTTCCCTACCTGTACAACCACCCCGACCGCAAGTCGAAGAAGTGGTTGGTCACCTGCGACGACGATACCTACTTCCCCAGCATGCACGGTCTCATCGACAAGTTCGCTACTTTCGATCACCTTGACCCTCTGTACGTTGGAACCCTTTCTGAGGATGTCAACGCTATCCACCGCCACGGTTCCCAGGCTTTCGGCGGTGCTGGTGTCTTCCTCAGCGTTCCCCTGGCTGCCGCCATCAACCAGCTGTACGAGTCTTGCAAGACCCCCCAGAAGGTCAAGGAAGCCAACTCCGGCTGGGGTCCCCAGGGCGACATTCTCCTCCGCAAGTGCATCTACGAAAACACCGAGGTCCGCCTCACCAACATCTGGGATCTGTGGCAGCTCGACCTGTACGGCGACCCGGCCGGTTTCTACGAGAGTGGCATCAAGCCCTTGAGCTTGCACCACTACAAGGGCGGCGGCTGGCACTTTGCCAAGCCCTTCCAGACCACCAAGGTTTCTCACGCCTGTGGCGAGGACTGCCCGTACCAGCGATTTATCACGTCGGACGACTTCATCATCGCCAACGGCTTCAGCGTTGCCCACTACCCGCAAGGCATCGACTTCAACCTCGACCAGATGGAGCGCACCTTTACCCCCGCCCCCGATGATATTGGCTGGAACTTGGACTACATGTTCGGCCCCCAGCGCAGATCTCTGCACAAGACTGGTCGCAAGATTGCCTGGGAGCTCCAGGAGGCTCACGTCCAGGAGGACGGTTCCGTACTCCAGATCTACACCCGCAGGAAGGACGACGAGCGCTGGGTCGAGGAGGACGGCGAGCCGATGAGCAAGATCGACGGCGTTATCGAGCTTGTGTGGATTCCCTCCACATGAGGTGCCCTCGGGACCCCCGAGCACGACGATACGACACAGGCGAAGGCCCTCTCGAGGCGCCTTCACCTCATGACATGATGGGACGGGTGGTTTTGGCGAAACGCCATCGGATAAAAGCACCTCAGCAACCCATCCAAGCATTTTCCCCATCATCCCAGGATATCCTGGCCTGTTTTCATAGCTGGCCCCTCGGCCGAAATGGCACGGGCCTATTTCGATTCAGACGGCAGCACAAAGGCAACCCGGCGAAGGATAACGGTTGCCTTGCCCAGGGCAAAAGCATACCATACGGATCCCCCAATACCAACCTCCCTGGACAGGATCATAATTATAATCCGCTGACCGCGATACCCTCATTTCATTACAAACCAAAAACCATCTTTCGATTCGACTCGGTTCTCGACTTCGGCATATAGCTCCCAATCAGAGCTTCGGCGTTTGAGTTCGGGCTTTTTTACTACAACAAGCATGCTGGCAACCGCTACACTTTCATTTTCCTTTCTTCTTCTGCGGCATTGCATTGCACATAGAAGGATTGCTTGGACGGATCTTGCAATCGGTACATAGACCTGTGAAAGGCCGGACGTTTGGAGTCATGATAAGGACGTTGGGTGTCCTTTTTCGGAGGTCAACCACCTGGATTAAATTACGGTGGCAGGAGGGTGCTGATACCATTGGCGCCTTGTAGAGTTAGACAAGTGTATACAAATGATACTAAATGTTCAAAAATATGACTTAAACCGCCTCGACTTGACTCGTGCGATGAGATTGCCTTCGATTGCCATGTGTCGAGATTCATGCGATGGGATGAACTTGCGGAGCCTCACATCTCAGGCCGAAAGCTTGTGCTGCGTCAGGCACAAATTGCCTCTGTCTCAGCCACGCCCCCACCCCCACTCGACGCCACAAAGGCAGCTGTGCCACACGTGCCCCGCCAACGTCAGTTAGGCCGGTACGCTACTGCTGTGCCGTCCTGTGTCCTTCCATGTTTCGAGAAATGAAGCCATGAAGCTTGCTGGCCTAGCTTGAGCTCTTCCAACGTCCAACCCTGCCCCGATAGGGACCCTTCGACATGGCAACGTGAGTAACCTTTGCGATTACTCGAGTTTGCGCTGTTTGGTCTGCCTGCTAACAGTCTTTTGGGGCCAGTATATCGAACATCCTGTCGCTGCCCTTCCGCAAATCCACCCAACTGTCGCTGTCCTCGACGATACGGCAGTACATCAACACCAAATATGACCAGCACCCGGACATGTTCCGGCAGGACCTTGAGGTCATCGATGCTCTCCGACGCGATGCGGTCAACGTGAGGGAGCCGCACCCCAGCGGCATCAAGAAGCTTCAGGCCTACGCCGGGCAGCTGGTGTGGATCGGTGGAAAGTTCCCGATCGACGTACGTGGTCATCGCCTTTTACGACAAATGCAGCAAAATGCTAACCCATCCTTTGGACAGATCGGCGCCGAGTTCACCTGGTACCCAGCCCTGGGCTACAACACCGAGCGACCGATGGTTCGCAACAACCTCAAGTACGAGCTCATGAACATCCTCTACAACCTCGCCTCCCTCTACTCCCAGCTCGCCGTCGCCCAGTCCCGTACCGGCACCGAGGGCCTCAAGACCGCCGCGGGCTACTTCTCGTCCGCCGCGGGCGTGCTCCAGCACATGCAGAAGGAGATCCTCCCCGAGCTGCGCATGTCGGACCCACCCGAGGACATGGACGCCAACACGCTCGAGTCGCTGGCGCAGCTGCTTCTCGCGCAGTCGCAGGAGTGCTTCTGGCAGAAGGCCGTTATGGACGGGTACAAGGACGCCATCATCGCCCGGCTGGCGGCGCGCGTGTCGGACCTGTACAACTCGGCGGGCGAGGCGGCGATGAAGAGCGAGGCGATCAGCTCCGCGTGGATCCACCACATGAGCGCGAAGCACCACCACTTTGCGGGCGCCGCGCAGTACCGCGCCGCGTGCGACTGCCTTGAGAAGCGGAAGTACGGCGAGGAGGTTGCGAGGTTGCAGGATGCTGTGGCGTGCGTCAACGAAGGGCTGAAGGAGAGCAGGGGCGGGTACCTCAACAAAGCTGTGCTCGATGACCTGAACGGCCTGAAGAGAAAGGTTGAGGAGGATCTGAAGCGGGCGGAGAAGGACAATGACGTGATTTATCTCAGTGAGTATTGCGAGGTTGAGGTTGGAAGCGACCAGGCTAACACAAGCAGATCCCGTACCGCCCAAGTCTGAGCTCAAGATCCTCGACAGGGCAAACATGGCCATCGCTAAGGTTCCGCCTCAAGTGGGCAACCCGTTCGATTACCTCGGAGACCAGGCCGAGTTCGGGCCCGCCCTCTTCACGAAGCTGGTGCCGTTCTCTGTGCACGCAGCCATCACCATCTACGAACAACTCCGCGATCGCATTGTCAACGAGAATATTATTGGTCAGATGGAGACTCAGACTGAGAAGCTCCACCAGATTCTCAGCTCTATCAACCTGCCGGGCTCATTACAGGCCCTCGAGAAGCCTCTCGGTCTACCTCATAGTCTGGTCCATCACGCCGAGGAGATTCGCCAGGCTGACGCTATTGGACGCATCCAGCGAGCGTTCTCCGATATCGACAAACTCCGGAATGCAGATATTTCAGTCTTCAATGAGGGAAAAGCTATCCTTACAGCAGAGGAGGAAGAGGACCAGAGGCTTAGACGGAAGTACGGCACCGACAGGTGGTCGAGACCAGACAGCCGGAGCGATCCTCAGGGAGCTGCGTTCTGGGGACAAGTGGCAGAAATCGAGGGCTACTTTGCCAGCAGTACGAGCAGTGACGCACTTGTGCGAGAAAAGTACAGAGAGGTCCAGGACTTGCTGGAGATGCTGTCCGGGTCGGACCGAGCTCTCATGGACTACGTCCCTTCAAGCAGACGGATGGACATCCCCGAGCCTTTGAAGCCAGTCATAGGGAGACTGCGCGGGGCCTACAACGACGTCCTCCGTCTTGAATCGAGAAGGAGAAAGAAGGCCGAGGCACTGAGGGAGAAGGCAAGAACGGACGACATCAAGCCCGACATCCTCAAAGAGGCTGCCCGTCTTGAGCGGACGTACCCGACAACAGCCATCGTTCCGGCGCACTTTGAAGAGTTTTTCGAGAAGCGTCTTGACAAGCTCTACGACGGAGACATTGAAGCTGTGGCAAAGGAAGAGGACGAACAGGACCGGCTCATGACGGAGGTGCAACGGGTCAACCGGGAGTTCGAGAGCCAGAAGAAGAATCTTACCAGCGGCAGCAGGGAGCGCGAGCAAGCATTGCAGAGGTTGGACAATGCGTATTACAAGTACAAGGAGATTGTCAACAATGTGGATGTGGGCCGCAAGTTCTACAACGATCTGAGTAAGGTGGTCGGCCAGAACTTTCGGGACCCGGTCAAGGCGTGGGCTGCGGAGCGGCGGATGGACGCAAAGAGTCTCGAAGAGTCAGTATTGTCCTATCATTCTGTAGGAGTATTCGCTAACAACGTTCCAGGGAGGTCAACATGCCGCCTCTTGGCTCTCTCAACATCAACAGATCCCCAGTCCACTCACCCGCTGGCTCAACGTACGACCAACGCACAAACAACTCCTACTTCAATGCCAGTGTCGTCCCCGGCTCCTCACCGCCTCAGCAGCAGCCCTCAAGACAGGAGGTGGTGCATCCTCCCGCCGAGGCACACATTCAGTCATGGGCGGGCTCAACTGTCGAACCGCAACACCCCAGGCCAACTAGTATGTGGCAGCCCGACATGGGGATCAAGTTCTCGGCACCGGCCGGCTCATCGGCTGCCCCCACCACGCAGCAAGCGCAGGGATCGGGGAGCAAGCCCCCGCAGGGCGGCACCTGGGACCCGGGCTCCGGAATAAGATTCGGATAGGACACGGAACGGTTCCCGCCCCCTAGACGAAGACCGCAAGCGTAGAGATTTGGTTCAGGTAGAAAGAGTGCCGCGATGTTGTTGAGCTCGGCGTTGGTGGGTTTGTGTCGTCGTCGCTAGATGTATTCATAGCTCCAGCTTTGTTGATGGCCCCTGTTGATCCGTACATAATTCCATCCACGAAAGCTTTTTCCATTTACATCCTGTGCCTCCTCTGTCATCTACGAATCCTAACGCGCGCCACAATGCCCCACCCCCTCATGCTCTCCCAGATGCCCAGCTCGTTCTCCCTGCGAAACGTCACCTCTTCCGCGCGCACCGTCATGCTTACATCCTCATCCTGCTGCTGCTGCTGCCTTGCCTTGCTGACGTCCGGCGGCGGTGCTGATGACGACGAACTTGCTGCCGCCTCGGATGACGAGCCCCCCCTGAACAACCCCCACCCCCGCGCTTTCTTCTTCTCCTGGATGACCTGCTCCACGACCTGCCGCACGACGGTGCGGTCGAGCCTCGGCTCGGGCTGCAGCTGCCGCGCGAGGCGGCGCGCCATGTCCTCGTCGGCCCACCACCACTCTTCCTCGCGGGCGGTTTCGGGGGAGGAGGAGGAGGAGTCGGACCAGCGGCCCCATTCGTCAAAGGCGGCGGGCGGGTTGGGCCGCAGAGAGGATGAGGAGGAGGGTTCGCGGAGGGAGGAGGAAGAGGTTGTGGGGGTTTGTTCTGGTTTTGAGGGGGATTCCTTTACATCTGCGGGAGAGACGCGGATGACTTGCACGACTTCGTTTGTCTCGGAGGCGATGCTCCAGCGGGGGTCGACGGCGGCGGCGGGGACGAAGACGAGCTCGGCGAGGGGCGGCGGGGAGGGGGATGTTGCAAGGGTTGTGAGGAGGGCGGCGAGGTGCGGGGTGAGGAGGGGCAGGAGGGTTGTTGTTTTGTGGGAGGCGAGGGCGGATTGTTGGGCTTGGGTTGTGCGGAGGAGGGAGGTTAGGGAGGAGAGGGTTTGGGGGAGTTGTTGTGAGAATGAGGCCGAGGGGGAGGGGGAGGTGAGGGTGGATGTGTAGGAGGGGGGAGGGTCGGAGGGGTCGTTGTCGAGGTCGTAGGAGGGTGGTTGTTT